TGGTCCCACTGCTGCCCATAACGTTGGTCCCACTGCTGCCCATAACGCTGGTCCCACTGCTGTCCATGCCGTTGGCCCCACTGCTGGTCCCAATCCTGCCGATATCTGTCCTGATGCCTTCTGCTGGGCCATCTTGAAGTGACGTAGAGTCTGCCGGCTAGCACAGCATCCACAGGAGATTCGATGCCAGTCCAGTCTTTGTTGATGAAGTGATGGCCACTGTGATGACTTTGAGCTGGAAGAAAGTAATTAAAAGCTGAGTTATGGAAGCAGTCTCAGGTTCATAGTAGGGGTGGGAATCTCTAGCCACCTCACGATTCGATTCGACTACAATTCAGGAGGCTGCGATATGATGATAAAACTATTATCGATGCATTTTGATGTACCTTTTTCTTCTATACATTTCTTTTTCCCCACTATGTGACTACCTGGTACTTTCAAAGCAAAGTATTTGTAAAGATTACAAATCAAATGATTAATTTTATATCAAATTTGTTTGTGCATTTTTATTAAATTATATAAGCAGGCTACTTTTTTAGCCTGCTTCATAGTACCCCTAGTTCCTGCACCCCTAGTTCATAGTATTGATAGCTTCCTCTGAAAAAGTATTACCTCCACCAAAGAGCTGGTTGAAGTGCTCAACCCATCGGTCGTAGTAAATATTAGTGTATCTGCGGAAGAGTGCTGAGGGAGATCTCAATGACATCTGAATGCACTCCTCATGGGATGGCTGGTGCTTGAACTCATACTGGTAATACTGGTCTCCTAAACAGAAGGAACGTATGGTTAGTTTAGTAAAGTTAAATGAACATGAAAGTAAATCTAGATCTATTTTTTAGGTTAAGTACAAACCTTTAAAAAAATAAACCTTCTCTTTGCCATGATGACTGTGAGCAGGAATGGCAAAGGCAGCATCCAGATGGTCTGGTATCTCTCAAATCCCACAGATATTTCTCGTGGGAAATCTTCGTCTAGTACTCCATCTTCAAACCTCCAGTATTTTTTACCCTGGGAATAATATAATACATTTTTTCATTTACAATCATTCAGCGAAACAGATTAAATAATTCTGATTAACTCTGATTAAATAAATTTAATAAATTAAAATAAATTGTGACTATTTATTATATTAACAATATAATGTATTATATAAACAACTCACACTGTATAAACTAAGTGCTAGAAATTGTAAATGGTTTAAATTACAGATATAAATGTGAGGTCATCCATACTTTGAAGATGTACGTCTTTCCTTGGCAGTTTATGCGAGTGAAAGCAGCATCTATTGGACCTTTTATTCCCCAGATATCTTCGATGAGCTTTGGGTACCCCGGTAATACAGATTTCTCATCAAGCTCAAAAAAATATTGTCCTGTAGACAAACGTATTACATTTTTAATTAGAGTAAATAAATATAATAAGAAGACTGCTACTTAACTATTTTGTATTATGTTTAAAAAAAATTCTACTTATGCTAAATATATTGTATGTACATTTTTATATTATGGTCAAAAATTAGCCTAAATGAAGTATAAAATAATTTTGTATAATATTCACATATTTGTTTTTCTTTGCTGTAAGCCACTTACCTCTGAATGCGTATATAGAGCTGTTTTTGAGCTGCATGAAGGAGTCAAAGGGTCTGCCACTGCAGACCTCAGCATCAGGGTCTTTGGCTTTTGTTGGTGTGGGTTCAGCATTTGAGGTTGTGCGTGGCGTTGTGGTTGGGTTCTTAATGGAGGAGGCTAATCTGAAATGTGTAGTTGGATTGGCAGCAGTGACAATCTCTGGTGTTGGGTTGTCATTTAACGTTGAATCCAAGACTTGTGAAGCTGGTGTTAATAGGCTGAATATTTCAGCAAAGGTTGCTGTAGACGGGGTCAAAATTTTGTGCTGTGATCTGGATCTGATTGGCACCTCTGTGCTGTTTGCTTCCTCATAATCATCCTCAGGGTAAGAAGGAAAAGTGTCTCCACGAGCTGCAACAAGAACAGTTTCTCATCCACTTGTTTTGATCACTGCATTTCACATATTTTGTTTAAATGGAGATGAAGAAACCAAACTGGTAAACTTACTCCTAATACGACACAAGGATTCATAGTCTTTGCAACAGCTCTTGTAGTATGTGCACATAGAGTCACACTGGCAGCTCTTGGTGGCATCAAACCCATTTTCACAGCGTTCGATACACGACTCTGACAGGAAAAAGAGCGCAGTTCCAAGATAACACAGAAAATGTATATCAAAATATTATAAGAAAGTATGTGTTCTTACCTTCAGCAGCATATGTGAAGGAAATCAGTCCTAGCAACAGAAAAAGCCTCATCCTGGCGTCTCACAGTGAATGTGACTGAAGAGCTGAGACCATCAGGACTACAGGAATCAATAGACTCAGAGGTCACTCACCCGCTTTTGTTTAAACCTATATTGCAAAACTTATCTGCAATATGGTTTCGTCTTTGTTTAACTGTAGTCATCAAAACCAGACAGGAATTGTTTTGCAATCCGATAATAAAAATATTAAAGGTTGTTTTATGAGCACTATATTTTATGTAAGTTTTATTTAAGTTGATTGGAATTTGTGGGCTACACTACTTTTGAGTGTGTAAAGGTATAGAAAGAAATAATGCTTGTTTACAACTTTCAAAATGTAAGATTTAGACTGTTTAACAAAGTCCACCATGATGTCCTTTACTAATGTGGGAGTGTATTGCTTAAACTTGGGGACAAATAACCCGTTTGACCTCTGTGAAAAGTGAATGATTAATAGATCTATAAACACTATCACCTTACACAACTGCTTACAAACATTCGTCGTACATGAATAACTTAGCCTAAGTCAAGTTATGAGTTTAGCGTTCTTATTTGCATATTTCTTGCTTATTTGCATGGTAAAATAACACTGACTGGAGGAATAAAGTTAAATAAGGGCACGTTTCAGTAATTGCCTGCGTTGCCATATAAATCGGCGAATAATAATACAGCCGTCGTCTTCTCTCCAGTGAAAAGTGCGTGTGTACGGCGCGTCCTGCGGCAGGGTTTCCAGGTTTTCACAACAAACCCCGCCCAATTGCTACTCAAAACTAGCCCAAAACTAGCCCAGTCGCGTTTCGAGGGGGTCCCCCGTTAAAAATCGGATTCCCCTGGTAAAATTTGCATTCCATGGGCTAAATATCACGTTATTGGGGTCGTTTTTCAACCCGCGGACATGAAAAACAACCCGCGGCAACAGTGTTAATGTATCCCAATTCCGCGGGAAAACCGCGGACTTGGCAACACTGCTGCGGCCGTACAAACATCATGAATATTTAATGAGATCATCAGTGAGGCACTTTATGATTGGTTGTCTGTAGCTAAACAACTCGACGTAACAAGTTCCAGAGCAAGGTTTCATAACCTAGGGTTAAAAGCTGTGCCAACCCCCTTTCAAAATTGCGTGTGAAACGTTGCTAAAATGATTAAAATGGCCTTTATCTGTGGTTTTAAAAAGACTGCGAAAGGCTAACTGCAAATCCCTTCAGTTAAATAGCATCTCCTAACACTGCAAGAAGCTTACCGATTTTTCTGTCAATTTAATTTAAAGAGATTTTCCCCCATTTTTAATTTAGGCTAAAACTAACTTTAATATATGTATTTTTTTATTTAAAACATATTTGGCTGCTATGGTATTTAGGCAGAAATACGAAAAACATGTTACAAAAAAGCTAACGTTGCATATAGTCTCTGTCCACCAGGGGGCGTTGAGCTAAAGTGGCACTATGATGCTGAGGATGCTTCTCCGCTTCCAGTTTGTGAGATACACAGGGCGGGTCTATAAACGGACGCTGAGGATGCTTGAGGATTCATTATCAACAATCTTAACTTTATTTCAAATATAACGGCTTCACAGTGTTTTATTTTATATAATAAGTATCGCCTCAGTTGGCTTTGACAGGAATCTATCCGAGGGTGGTAAAAGGACAGTGGAAATAGTCGTCTTTTTTCTGACAAACCCAATCGTTTGCCGGTTTACAGCGATACAAACCGGCTTTCTAATTTTCTTAAAACATCAGGCCATTCTGACAGCTTTATCTTGTTATTTGATGGTTTTTAAACAACCTTGTGGGCCCTTTCTAACAGTGGATACTTTAAGCGTATCTTAAAGGCTTTGCCAGTGCTCTGACGTCATTTGTGTTTATTATTTTTTTCTGACATCAGCAGGATAATGTGGTAAACGGTCGCTGTTAATGAATGAAACTGTTTCCCACGCAATAGACATTAATGATTTGCTTGGTAATGACGGCGACGCGATAATTTATTTTGTCACAGCGGAAAGACAAAGAAACATCATAAGTGTTGTTACGGCAGAGAAACGGCTGGTAACGTTAGATGTTTTTGTCTCCTGTCGTGTATCTCAGCAAGATTTGCCGTTATTTCTCCATGTTTAGCACCGACAGACTCACGGTTCCTGAATATGTCAGTAATCGGCTACACAACCGGAGGACGGGCTCTGGCCCCAGGGCTGTGTCTCCGGGGATCAGCGCCGACGTTCGGGCCGTGTTGGACGGCTCTCTCCCAATTCCGCGGGAAAACCGCGGACTTGGCAACACTGCTGCGGCCGTACAAACATCATGAATATTTAATGAGATCATCAGTGAGGCACTTTATGATTGGTTGTCTGTAGCTAAACAACTCGACGTAACAAGTTCCAGAGCAAGGTTTCATAACCTAGGGTTAAAAGCTGTGCCAACCCCCTTTCAAAATTGCGTGTGAAACGTTGCTAAAATGATTAAAATGGCCTTTATCTGTGGTTTTAAAAAGACTGCGAAAGGCTAACTGCAAATCCCTTCAGTTAAATAGCATCTCCTAACACTGCAAGAAGCTTACCGATTTTTCTGTCAATTTAATTTAAAGAGATTTTCCCCCATTTTTAATTTAGGCTAAAACTAACTTTAATATATGTATTTTTTTATTTAAAACATATTTGGCTGCTATGGTATTTAGGCAGAAATACGAAAAACATGTTACAAAAAAGCTAACGTTGCATATAGTCTCTGTCCACCAGGGGGCGTTGAGCTAAAGTGGCACTATGATGCTGAGGATGCTTCTCCGCTTCCAGTTTGTGAGATACACAGGGCGGGTCTATAAACGGACGCTGAGGATGCTTGAGGATTCATTATCAACAATCTTAACTTTATTTCAAATATAACGGCTTCACAGTGTTTTATTTTATATAATAAGTATCGCCTCAGTTGGCTTTGACAGGAATCTATCCGAGGGTGGTAAAAGGACAGTGGAAATAGTCGTCTTTTTTCTGACAAACCCAATCGTTTGCCGGTTTACAGCGATACAAACCGGCTTTCTAATTTTCTTAAAACATCAGGCCATTCTGACAGCTTTATCTTGTTATTTGATGGTTTTTAAACAACCTTGTGGGCCCTTTCTAACAGTGGATACTTTAAGCGTATCTTAAAGGCTTTGCCAGTGCTCTGACGTCATTTGTGTTTATTATTTTTTTCTGACATCAGCAGGATAATGTGGTAAACGGTCGCTGTTAATGAATGAAACTGTTTCCCACGCAATAGACATTAATGATTTGCTTGGTAATGACGGCGACGCGATAATTTATTTTGTCACAGCGGAAAGACAAAGAAACATCATAAGTGTTGTTACGGCAGAGAAACGGCTGGTAACGTTAGATGTTTTTGTCTCCTGTCGTGTATCTCAGCAAGATTTGCCGTTATTTCTCCATGTTTAGCACCGACAGACTCACGGTTCCTGAATATGTCAGTAATCGGCTACACAACCGGAGGACGGGCTCTGGCCCCAGGGCTGTGTCTCCGGGGATCAGCGCCGACGTTCGGGCCGTGTTGGACGGCTCTCTCCCCGCGCTGCGCTCCGCGATCAAAACACTTAAGTCTTCGAAAGACACTGGAGATGTGGAGGAGACCCGCCGGGCCATCGCTGAGACTTTCCAGCTGGTTGAGGAGGCCTGGGTCCTGCCCACAGTGGGCCGACGGGTAGCAGAGGAGATGTGCAACAGGATCCGGCTGGATGGGGGTCTGGAACTGCTCTTGCAGCTGCTGCAGACACCTGCTGTAGGAATCACATATGAGTCTGCCAAGCTCCTTGAGCAAATACTGGTCTCAGAAAACAGGTAAGGAACATTCTTGATAAAGTGTTTTTTAGGCCCATTTATTAGGCCCGAAAAAGTATTTGGACAAGCAAGTCACAGTTAAATGTGAATGAGTGTCATTGTATTAAACAAAGTGGCAGTTGGTTATTCAAAAGAAAGATAGCACAAGCATTTTACATGCATAGAGTTTGTTTGGTTTAAAATGATAATAAATAACATACTGTTCAAAAATATTTTTTTCCCTTTTTTATATAACAATATACAAATTTTCGCATGGAATAGTATGCAGAAAATAGTCATACTGCCTGAAAGATATACTGTACCTAAAATAACTGTCCTGGGATATCATATTCTTTTTAGATAATCTTTCTGCTGCATGTAAATCATTTGCACATTCACACAGTCAATATGGGAAGCCGGAAGCTGAGAGAGATTGATGAACATGAATTTAGGATGAAGCTACGACTTTTTCTTCTCTGTAAATATGTTCAGTTCTAATAAACTTTAATTGTTTTGTTCACTGCATTTCACGTTTTGTTTAAATGGAGTTGAAAAAACCAAACTGCTAAACTTACTCCTAATATGACACAAGGATTCATAGTCTTTGCAACAGCTCTTGTAGTATGTTCACATTGAGTCACACTGGCAGCTCTTGGTGGCATCAAACCCATTTTAAAGAATTAATTCAAGAAAATCAGTATTAAACATAGCCCTGCAATTCGGTGTTAGCTTTTTACAGATTTTATTGTTGCTTATAGCAGTACATTTGCTTTACTAAAACTGTCAATTGTTCCATTTTCATTTGCAATATTAATATTGTTATAGTCAGGGCTGAATTTTTAATCCCAATTCATCCTGCATTTGTCCTAAAAGGAATAGAAAGACAAAAAAATAAAAATAAATAAAGAGAAAGAGACCAAAAACAGCGGGACAAAAACACGAGATTAAACACGAGAGTAAAGTCTGACAGGGTAATATATTCACTGTAGTTATGCCACAGCTGCAGGGGGGGTGTATAAATCTGCCCTAAAGCCACTTAATAAATCCACTAAAAATCATATTGGGCCTAAGTGTCTTGTGTTGTGTGATTTATTTGCAGGTGCCACTTGGTTTGATATTATGTAATCATTTATCTAATCGGACTTGTAATCAAAGGTTGTGGGTTTGAGTCTTGATACCGGCAGGGCTTGTAGGTGGGGGGAGTGAATGACCAGCACTCTCTTCCACCTTCAATACCATGACTGAAGTGCCCGTTGAGCAAGGCACCAAACCACCAGCTGCTCCCCGGGGGCCGCAGCAAAAATGGCTGCCCACTGCTTTGGGCGCGTGTTTGTTCACTACTCACTGCTGTGTGTGTGTGTGAACTTGGATGGGTTAAATGCAGAGCACAGATTTTGAGTATGAGACACCGTACTTGGTCACATGTCCCTTTCACTTTCACTTTTCAAAAGGCTTATATGCATGCAAATTCTTTTAAATGCTTGTTTTTGTATTTCTCTGCAGGGATTATGTGGCACGTATGGGGCTTGGGGTCATCCTGAACCTGACCCGTGAGCAGGATGATGCCCAGCTGGCACGGAGCGTGTCAGGCATCCTTGAGCACATGTTTAAACACACAGAGGAGACATCTGCGCAGCTCATCACTAATGGAGCACTGGACACCCTCCTGTATTGGTGCCGTGGAACAGACCCAACTGTACTGCGGCACTGTGCTGTGGCCCTGGCAAACTGCGCTATGTATGGTGGGCACCGCTGCCAGCGTCTGATGATCGAAAAACAGGCGGCTGAATGGCTGTTCCCACTGGCATTTTCCAAAGAGGACGAGCTGATCCGGTTCCATGCCTGTCTGGCCGTGGCTGTGCTGGCAGCTAATAGGGAGATAGAGAAAGAAGTAGTGAAGTCTGGTACTCTGGAGTTGGTGGAGCCATTTATCGCCTCGTTGGACCCTGAAGAGTTTGCACGCAACCTGTTGGACAGTGCAGACAGCATGCAGGGCCGCACCGCAGCAGACCTGCAGCACTTACTGCCTCTGCTGGACGGCACATGTCTGGAGGGGAAATGCATCGCTGCATTCTACCTGTGTGTGGAGACTAGTATCAAGTCTCGTCAACGTAATACCAAGGTCAGGCAGACACTATATTTACTCCTCTCACATATTTTGTTTAAATGGAGATGAAGAAACCAAACTGGTAAACTTACTCCTAATACGACACAAGGATTCATAGTCTTTGCAACAGCTCTTGTAGTATGTGCACATAGAGTCACACTGGCAGCTCTTGGTGGCATCAAACCCATTTTCACAGCGTTCGATACACGACTCTGACAGGAAAAAGAGCGCAGTTCCAAGATAACACAGAAAATGTATATCAAAATATTATAAGAAAGTATGTGTTCTTACCTTCAGCAGCATATGTGAAGGAAATCAGTCCTAGCAACAGAAAAAGCCTCATCCTGGCGTCTCACAGTGAATGTGACTGAAGAGCTGAGACCATCAGGACTACAGGAATCAATAGACTCAGAGGTCACTCACCCGCTTTTGTTTAAACCTATATTGCAAAACTTATCTGCAATATGGTTTCGTCTTTGTTTAACTGTAGTCATCAAAACCAGACAGGAATTGTTTTGCAATCCGATAATAAAAATATTAAAGGTTGTTTTATGAGCACTATATTTTATGTAAGTTTTATTTAAGTTGATTGGAATTTGTGGGCTACACTACTTTTGAGTGTGTAAAGGTATAGAAAGAAATAATGCTTGTTTACAACTTTCAAAATGTAAGATTTAGACTGTTTAACAAAGTCCACCATGATGTCCTTTACTAATGTGGGAGTGTATTGCTTAAACTTGGGGACAAATAACCCGTTTGACCTCTGTGAAAAGTGAATGATTAATAGATCTATAAACACTATCACCTTACACAACTGCTTACAAACATTCGTCGTACATGAATAACTTAGCCTAAGTCAAGTTATGAGTTTAGCGTTCTTATTTGCATATTTCTTGCTTATTTGCATGGTAAAATAACACTGACTGGAGGAATAAAGTTAAATAAGGGCACGTTTCAGTAATTGCCTGCGTTGCCATATAAATCGGCGAATAATAATACAGCCGTCGTCTTCTCTCCAGTGAAAAGTGCGTGTGTACGGCGCGTCCTGCGGCAGGGTTTCCAGGTTTTCACAACAAACCCCGCCCAATTGCTACTCAAAACTAGCCCAAAACTAGCCCAGTCGCGTTTCGAGGGGGTCCCCCGTTAAAAATCGGATTCCCCTGGTAAAATTTGCATTCCATGGGCTAAATATCACGTTATTGGGGTCGTTTTTCAACCCGCGGACATGAAAAACAACCCGCGGCAACAGTGTTAATGTATCCCAATTCCGCGGGAAAACCGCGGACTTGGCAACACTGCTGCGGCCGTACAAACATCATGAATATTTAATGAGATCATCAGTGAGGCACTTTATGATTGGTTGTCTGTAGCTAAACAACTCGACGTAACAAGTTCCAGAGCAAGGTTTCATAACCTAGGGTTAAAAGCTGTGCCAACCCCCTTTCAAAATTGCGTGTGAAACGTTGCTAAAATGATTAAAATGGCCTTTATCTGTGGTTTTAAAAAGACTGCGAAAGGCTAACTGCAAATCCCTTCAGTTAAATAGCATCTCCTAACACTGCAAGAAGCTTACCGATTTTTCTGTCAATTTAATTTAAAGAGATTTTCCCCCATTTTTAATTTAGGCTAAAACTAACTTTAATATATGTATTTTTTTATTTAAAACATATTTGGCTGCTATGGTATTTAGGCAGAAATACGAAAAACATGTTACAAAAAAGCTAACGTTGCATATAGTCTCTGTCCACCAGGGGGCGTTGAGCTAAAGTGGCACTATGATGCTGAGGATGCTTCTCCGCTTCCAGTTTGTGAGATACACAGGGCGGGTCTATAAACGGACGCTGAGGATGCTTGAGGATTCATTATCAACAATCTTAACTTTATTTCAAATATAACGGCTTCACAGTGTTTTATTTTATATAATAAGTATCGCCTCAGTTGGCTTTGACAGGAATCTATCCGAGGGTGGTAAAAGGACAGTGGAAATAGTCGTCTTTTTTCTGACAAACCCAATCGTTTGCCGGTTTACAGCGATACAAACCGGCTTTCTAATTTTCTTAAAACATCAGGCCATTCTGACAGCTTTATCTTGTTATTTGATGGTTTTTAAACAACCTTGTGGGCCCTTTCTAACAGTGGATACTTTAAGCGTATCTTAAAGGCTTTGCCAGTGCTCTGACGTCATTTGTGTTTATTATTTTTTTCTGACATCAGCAGGATAATGTGGTAAACGGTCGCTGTTAATGAATGAAACTGTTTCCCACGCAATAGACATTAATGATTTGCTTGGTAATGACGGCGACGCGATAATTTATTTTGTCACAGCGGAAAGACAAAGAAACATCATAAGTGTTGTTACGGCAGAGAAACGGCTGGTAACGTTAGATGTTTTTGTCTCCTGTCGTGTATCTCAGCAAGATTTGCCGTTATTTCTCCATGTTTAGCACCGACAGACTCACGGTTCCTGAATATGTCAGTAATCGGCTACACAACCGGAGGACGGGCTCTGGCCCCAGGGCTGTGTCTCCGGGGATCAGCGCCGACGTTCGGGCCGTGTTGGACGGCTCTCTCCCCGCGCTGCGCTCCGCGATCAAAACACTTAAGTCTTCGAAAGACACTGGAGATGTGGAGGAGACCCGCCGGGCCATCGCTGAGACTTTCCAGCTGGTTGAGGAGGCCTGGGTCCTGCCCACAGTGGGCCGACGGGTAGCAGAGGAGATGTGCAACAGGATCCGGCTGGATGGGGGTCTGGAACTGCTCTTGCAGCTGCTGCAGACACCTGCTGTAGGAATCACATATGAGTCTGCCAAGCTCCTTGAGCAAATACTGGTCTCAGAAAACAGGTAAGGAACATTCTTGATAAAGTGTTTTTTAGGCCCATTTATTAGGCCCGAAAAAGTATTTGGACAAGCAAGTCACAGTTAAATGTGAATGAGTGTCATTGTATTAAACAAAGTGGCAGTTGGTTATTCAAAAGAAAGATAGCACAAGCATTTTACATGCATAGAGTTTGTTTGGTTTAAAATGATAATAAATAACATACTGTTCAAAAATATTTTTTTCCCTTTTTTATATAACAATATACAAATTTTCGCATGGAATAGTATGCAGAAAATAGTCATACTGCCTGAAAGATATACTGTACCTAAAATAACTGTCCTGGGATATCATATTCTTTTTAGATAATCTTTCTGCTGCATGTAAATCATTTGCACATTCACACAGTCAATATGGGAAGCCGGAAGCTGAGAGAGATTGATGAACATGAATTTAGGATGAAGCTACGACTTTTTCTTCTCTGTAAATATGTTCAGTTCTAATAAACTTTAATTGTTTTGTTCACTGCATTTCACGTTTTGTTTAAATGGAGTTGAAAAAACCAAACTGCTAAACTTACTCCTAATATGACACAAGGATTCATAGTCTTTGCAACAGCTCTTGTAGTATGTTCACATTGAGTCACACTGGCAGCTCTTGGTGGCATCAAACCCATTTTAAAGAATTAATTCAAGAAAATCAGTATTAAACATAGCCCTGCAATTCGGTGTTAGCTTTTTACAGATTTTATTGTTGCTTATAGCAGTACATTTGCTTTACTAAAACTGTCAATTGTTCCATTTTCATTTGCAATATTAATATTGTTATAGTCAGGGCTGAATTTTTAATCCCAATTCATCCTGCATTTGTCCTAAAAGGAATAGAAAGACAAAAAAATAAAAATAAATAAAGAGAAAGAGACCAAAAACAGCGGGACAAAAACACGAGATTAAACACGAGAGTAAAGTCTGACAGGGTAATATATTCACTGTAGTTATGCCACAGCTGCAGGGGGGGTGTATAAATCTGCCCTAAAGCCACTTAATAAATCCACTAAAAATCATATTGGGCCTAAGTGTCTTGTGTTGTGTGATTTATTTGCAGGTGCCACTTGGTTTGATATTATGTAATCATTTATCTAATCGGACTTGTAATCAAAGGTTGTGGGTTTGAGTCTTGATACCGGCAGGGCTTGTAGGTGGGGGGAGTGAATGACCAGCACTCTCTTCCACCTTCAATACCATGACTGAAGTGCCCGTTGAGCAAGGCACCAAACCACCAGCTGCTCCCCGGGGGCCGCAGCAAAAATGGCTGCCCACTGCTTTGGGTGTGTGTTTGTTCACTACTCACTGCTGTGTGTGTGTGTGAACTTGGATGGGTTAAATGCAGAGCACAGATTTTGAGTATGAGACACCGTACTTGGTCACATGTCCCTTTCACTTTCACTTTTCAAAAGGCTTATATGCATGCAAATTCTTTTAAATGCTTGTTTTTGTATTTCTCTGCAGGGATTATGTGGCACGTATGGGGCTTGGGGTCATCCTGAACCTGACCCGTGAGCAGGATGATGCCCAGCTGGCACGGAGCGTGTCAGGCATCCTTGAGCACATGTTTAAACACACAGAGGAGACATCTGCGCAGCTCATCACTAATGGAGCACTGGACACCCTCCTGTATTGGTGCCGTGGAACAGACCCAACTGTACTGCGGCACTGTGCTGTGGCCCTGGCAAACTGCGCTATGTATGGTGGGCACCGCTGCCAGCGTCTGATGATCGAAAAACAGGCGGCTGAATGGCTGTTCCCACTGGCATTTTCCAAAGAGGACGAGCTGATCCGGTTCCATGCCTGTCTGGCCGTGGCTGTGCTGGCAGCTAATAGGGAGATAGAGAAAGAAGTAGTGAAGTCTGGTACTCTGGAGTTGGTGGAGCCATTTATCGCCTCGTTGGACCCTGAAGAGTTTGCACGCAACCTGTTGGACAGTGCAGACAGCATGCAGGGCCGCACCGCAGCAGACCTGCAGCACTTACTGCCTCTGCTGGACGGCACATGTCTGGAGGGGAAATGCATCGCTGCATTCTACCTGTGTGTGGAGACTAGTATCAAGTCTCGTCAACGTAATACCAAGGTCAGGCAGACACTATATTTACTCCTCTATGCATTCACTTTATTACGAGTGAGAGTGTCTTGGTTATGTAATTGCATGAATTAAATATAATAGTATCTAATATATATTTTATGTATATATTTTAAAATATCTATTAATATATGTTTATGTATATTATATATTATTTTATTTAATTAATGCAGATTTTTAGTACTAAGACATGAGTATAAATAAAATCATATTAATAACAATAATTAATATATATAAATATATATATATATATATATATAATTCAAATTTTTTTTCTAAGACACAAGCATAAATAACAGCAATGCATCAACATTTTATCTGCTGATTTGCAAAAATATATATAAAAATATATATAATATCTAGAAAAATATATAATATTAGCTAATTATTCAAAATGTATCATTTAACTTGCAGTCTGCAAAGGGGTGGATCAGGATTAGGCACAAAATAATGTCTTCAGAATCATTCATTCCTGTGAAAATCGACTGAGAACTGAACAAATAGTTGTAACCTGGCTCAAAGAAAGGTAGGAATCATGTCTCCATGGCAGTTTTACTGGGGATAATACAAGACGTCTTGACCTTACAAATGGTTGTCGAAAGCAAAAATGGTACAAAATGCACATCATATTTTGTGACGTGCTAGAGCAAAACAGGCACTACTTTTGGAGCATTAAAAATTTGTAAGAAACAAGTATTGGATTTCATTCAGCCAATATGATTTTCCTGGATCTTTCTACTCAGATATTTCAGGAGATTGGAGCTGTTCAGAGTCTAAAGAGGATCGTCATGTACTGCAGTAACGCCACTGTGTGCTCTCTGGCTAAGCGGGCCTTAACAATGATGAGCGAGGACGTCCCGAGGCGTATCCTTTCATCTGTACCCAACTGGAAGAGCGGAGAGGTGCAGACCTGGCTGCAGCAGATTGGCTTCAGTGCATTCAGTGAACGGTTTCAGGTTTGTACACAGCTTCCATTTCCTGTATAGCTGACCTTAGATAAAGGTAGAGGATAGGATGATATCTTGATATCTTTTGCTGCGGTTTTGTGTACCATATCTCTCAGGCACTGCAGGTGGATGGAGATCTACTGCTTAATATCACAGAACAGGATCTGATCCAGGATCTGGGCATGACTTCTGGGCTCACTCGAAAGAGGCTAGTGCTATTTAATTGTTTGAAATCCTTAATTATTCATGCTAAAAAATAGAAATCTTATAGACATTTATGCACAACTTCATTCTTAATTTCAACTTCAAAGTTTGAGATCACGTTGAAAATCTGGGATTTAAAAACCTAATTTAAACTTGGAAGCCTGGTATGTTTAAAAAATAAATAAAATTAATAATTTTACAATTTTAAATTAAAATTCTATTTTTTTTTCTTTTTTGCAAAATAGAAGCATTTTCACTGTGTCATCATAACCTGTAGCAGTTCTCTGAAAACCTCTGTGCAGGTTTCTTCGAGATCTGCGTGTACTGAAAACCTACGCCAACTACTCCACATGTGACCCCAATAACCTGGCAGACTGGCTTGCTGATATAGACCCACGATTCCGTCAGTACACCTACAGCTTGGTTCAATCGGGAGTCGATCGGAACAATATCATTCACATTACAGACCAACAGTTGCTGTCTGACTGTCATGTAGAGAATGGAATCCATCGTGCAAAGATCCTTTCTTTTGCCCACCGCCCTGCTGAACCCTGCTTAACCGATTCCCAACCCGCGGGCCCTGATGTGTTCATCAGCTACCGTCGCACTACGGGTTCACAGCTTGCCAGGTCAGACCACAAATTAGATGATTCTTATCTGTCTTTACAGTAATGGCACCTATTTAGTTACCCAGATTCTATTTGAATGACAATGGATGCAAAATATAACTGTACATATTGATTATTGGATATTTGTTTGTGCACATACACTTTTATCCTATTTTTTTTTTGTACATTTAGATTACATTTACATCATGTAACTCCCACTTAAAGTTAATCTTTAAAATTGCTTAATTTAAATAACACTGTTCAATGTGATCTTTCATGTTCTCTTGCAAATCTTAAATGGAATATACTTGTTTCATGCTGTTGTGTGAAATATGGATGTACTATTTTTTACTAAGATGTAGTAATTTCTAAATTCACTTTAATCATTGTTTTTAGTGTTCCATTTTTCATTTATTTAGACAAAGTAGTATAGAATTTTAATAGTGGCCATTTTTTTGGTTGAAATAAATCCCACGTCTCCTGTTCTTCTCTTTCTCTGCAGCCTACTGAAGGTACATCTACAGTTACGTGGTTTCAGCGTCTTCATCGACGTAGAGAAACTAGAAGCTGGCAGGTTTGAGGAGAAGCTGATCACGAGTGTTCAGCGAGCGCGCAACTTCATTTTGGTGCTGTCAGCCAATTCGCTGGACAAATGCATAGGCGACGTGGCTATGAAAGACTGGGTTCATAAGGTTAGAGAAAGAAATCCTTCTTTGATCAAACTGTACTTTTATAAATAAAGCCATATTTACTCAAGGTCCAGGCCATTGTCCAAATGCTGCAATTGGACTGAAAACACACTCCTTCAGTGATTACAGTCATCATTAACTGAATCCCTATTAGAGAATCCTTAAATCAGTTCTCAGAAGATGCCAAAACGTCCTTCTGCCAAGACCTTGAAATATGTAATTATGTGTATTAACATTGTCATTCAGCCATCTGAGGTTAAATGTTTTGTTTTATGTTATCCACAGGAGATCGTCACCGCTCTGAAAGGGAAGAAGAACATTGTTCCTGTTACTGATAACTTTGTTTGGCCCGATCCAGCCTCTCTGCCAGAGGACATGAACACCATTCTCAAGTTTAATGGCATTAAGTGAGTCAACATTCTGTCTGACTAAACATGTTGGTGCAATTACTCTATGACATACAATATGCACTCCTCTAGTTTATGCCTGCTCAGTAACTTGTAGGCTCTAATCTAAAATACTCTAATTGGAAAAATAATTTATGTAAATCTCTTCTCTCAATGTCACAGGTGGTCCCATGAGTATCAAGAAGCCACTATCGAAAAGATTCTGCGCTTCATCGAGGGATGCCCAAGCCAAGAGCAACCAGACGGAGCAAAAACAGACAAAGAAGAGCCACAAAAGAAATAAAACATACATTTGACCAATAAAAAGCCCTTTATTATGCCTAATAACTAGGTGTTTCTAGTAATGACTGCCATGTAACCAGAACACACCTGCTTACTCCTCAGAGGCCAGTGTTTCCTTCAGTTGTATGCATGTCTAGATAGATTACTGTTGAAATTTCTTAGAGAAAAAAACGTAAGTGTAACCTACCAAGAGATGCACTGGAACTTTAAATGTGTGGTCACATTAGCAAATATCAGTGAAAAAATTGTGGGCACAGCTCACATAGAAGTCATTTTCAAACCAAGCAGCTTTCTGTTGGTCAGGGTGGCAAACCCACATGACCAAGCTGAACCTGTTGCGAAATCTACATATGGGGAATTTTTCCACCCTCGTGCAACATTTGTGATTCCTGTTGACATCCTCCTGTGAAAATTTCCTGAACAACAGTAAATGTGACTTTACCACAAGGATTATTTACAGCTTTATGTCTGTAGACAACATTTGTGGCAAATAACATTGAATATTCCTCAATTGTGCTATAGTAATCAAACTTGCTATATACTGACTGTGCTCCCAGAATTATGTGGGACATTTCTGTAACTCAGGAAGTTGAATTGATTTATGCATTATCAATCATATTTATGACATAGTCAATCTCTGTTTATATGCTACATAATAATAGATAATCTTGCATTATAGCATAATCAGTTAGATTATTGAAAAAAAAGCCTTATGAAACGTTAAACATCAATTCTGATTTTTTTTTCTGAATTGGACTTGCATTAGGTAACAAAGGTGTCAAAAATACTGTAGTTCCTCAAAAATAGTTTCTAGTTAGATTTCTAGTCCTTTGTGACTAAAGTTTTTGCAGTTTGTTAGGCAAGTTATTATATTTTAGTTATAAGCTATTATATTAAATCATTATGGTTATTCATCCCATCAAGCAGTATTTGGAAGAAGTTTCAGGATTTGAATGACTGCTGTAGAGGCTTTCAAGCTTTCATGTGCAGTCACTCTGAAGATGCAACTGATCAAGGAAAATTGTAACGAACATTTACTAACACCTCTTAACACCTCAAGCTTTATCCTGCTATTGAGCTCCTTACTATTGCCTTATGATGTTTGTCTGAGTATATTTCAAGTGTGATACAATGTGTAAAATCTGTACAATGAAATATCGAAATGTTCTTTATCAGGCATAAACACAGCAATAAAGCTTGTTTTGGAAAACATGCCTTTAGTCCACATTTTTGTTTCACAAAAATATCATGTTGTCCTGTATTCAAATCTTTTACAAAACTGCTTAGATAACTCTTTTGATCCTTTCAGAAAACACAAAGCACTAGCTGGCATTTTCACTTCCTGTCAGCACACTGACAAAAAACAAAACAACAACAACAACTGCAAGACAACAACCACATAATTCGTGCCTGCTTTTCAGATTTGACACAAGTCTAGAACACAAATAACATGGAGAAGCATTTTAAGTCTGTTAACATCAGGAGGTATATTACTATGATTGTCTCTGATACACCTGTGAGACATGACCTGTGTGGGTTTAGATGTGATCCTGTGCCTTGAGTTCATGGCTGTTATTCAAAGGTTAAACGTGCAATTTTCACAAAAGTGTCATTTCATGTCAAACAATCCAAATTTTAAAATCTTCCCTGGCTCAAAATTTAGATTTTGTCAATTTTTTCTGAAGAAAGAAACATAAATAGAGATGAAAGGCAAAATATAATAACATGGATGACAATTTTCACTTGATATTTTAAGTCATGGATAAAGGTAGGTCTTTTAGTAAAATATGTTGACTTTAGGCTCCAGGTACATATTATTGAATCTTACCCATTTTCAATGGTAGAGAAACAAATGTGGGTCACTTCTTAAATATTCATCCATGCCATTTTTTTAAAAGCTTTTTTCTTGTGTTTCTTTCACCAGAAAACCTCTGGGACCCCTGGCTGAGTTGGCCCCCCAAACTGAATTGCAAAAACAGGTTCAAACAGGTTTCCCAAACACAGCCCTATCTATCTCCCACTGGTCACCAGATAAATCACTCCCAAATGAACGCCATTGGTTGAGCTAATATTGCTGTCGGGCTGGTCAGGATGCCCTAACAAAAACAGTTTTGACAGTCTCACAGAGCTACAGTTAACACTTTTTGGGGAAAGTCACCTACCCACCTATAAAAAAAACACACATCCCCTTATTCAATCAATCAATGTTTTATTTACAGAACAGATTTAAAAACAACCAAAGTTGACCAAAGTGCAGTGCAATGAAAAAAAAAAAAAAAAAAAAAAAGAATAAACAAAATAAAACAGGAATGCAAAAACATACAATACAACAATCCACAGTGACGTAAGAAACCCCGGAATAATGCAAAAAATGATAAAAACCAGGGAAAATAAATGTGTTTTAAGATTGAGTTTTGGTTCAGTGGTAGCAAAAGCACAAACATCTCGATGTTTAAGTTTGGTTCTAGGAACAGTGAGTACACCAACACCTTGTCAACACCGAACACGAGTGGTGCGATGCTACGAAAGAAAAAAAACAGTGCAAGGTAGTCACCCCCCTTTTTCTTTCAGATTGTATTTCCAAAGCATGAAGGTAAGATCTTACGGATTTATGAATGAACCGCTGGTTTTAAAATATTCCCGGTTTAATTGATCTTAAAGGGGTCATATGATGCTATTTTAAAGATCATTATTTTGTGTATTTGGTGTAACAGAATATGCAAATCTGCGACCAGGGTTACGTGCATACTAGATCGCAGGTTTAGATGAAGCATGGGGCACATCAGGTGAGATTATAGATTTCTGACTAACCGCTTGACCTTAGTTTAAGTTGTACTCAGTTACGTTAA